CTTTCAGAGGGTACCACCAAATTTTCATGCATGAAGATGACGCTGAGAAGACGGCATTCATGACCCCGGAGGGAATCTTTTGTTACCTCGTCATGGCTTTCGGACTCAAAAACTCCGGCGCCACCTACACCAGGATGGTGGTCAAAATCTTCAGAGCAGTCCTCGGCCGGACGATGGAGGCATACGTCGACGACATGATTGTCAAGAGTAGGCAAGCCACCACTCATGCCGACGACCTCCGGGAAATCTTTGAAATCATGAAGGAGTTCAGGCTCCGCCTCAACCCCAACATTGATCAATAGGTGGACGAGACAGCGGGATGCGAGTTGATGTCGTTCCTTGACACCTTCAGAGGGTACCACCAGATTTTCATGCATGAAGATGACGCTGAGAAGACGGCCTTCATGACCCCGGAGGGAATTTTTTGCTACCTCGTCATGGCTTTCGGACTCAAAAACTCAGGCGCCACCTACACTAGGATGGTGGCTAAGATCTTTAGGACGGTCCTCGGCCGGACGATGCAGGCATATGTCGATCACATGATTGTCAAAAGCAAATGGGCCACCACACATGCTGACGACCTCCAGGAAATTTTTGAGATCATGAAGGAGTTCAAACTCCGCCTCAACCCCAAGAAGTGCGCCTTTGGCGTCCAAGGCGGCAAGTTCCTCGGCTATATGGTCAGCCGGAGAGGCATTGAAATAAATCCGGAGAAGATACAGGGCATCAGCTATCTGATCAGAGGATGGGATGTGATGAACTTGAAGAAGTCCACGTTGAACCCGTTGCCGAACAAAATGAAAGTCAATGGCCACATGTTTCATGCGAGTGTGGAAGACATGATTTGCCGAAGATGTAGTGGCACCTTTGTTACCACAAAGGAGGAGTGGAGGAGAAAGTAGCGGGTGCCGCAACTCACGCAAAAGAGATTCAATCCAAATAATTTCAGAGGCAGCGGTGGAAAGAGCTCGATATTCAGCTTCCGTGGAAGACTTAGCAATGGTACGCTGCTTAATTGACTTCCAAGATATAAGAGACTCCCCGAGAAAAATGGCATATGCGCTAGTAGAGGAACGGTCATCAGGGTTCCCTGCCCAGTCAGCATCAGCAAAGGCACGGAGAGAGGGGGATGTGCTGCGACAAAGAAGCAGGCCATGAGAAGTAGTTCCCTGTAGATAGCGCAAAAGACGTTTGAGAAGCTGTCAATGATTGACCGTAGGTTTATGCATGATTTGAGCCAGTTTGTTAATAGCAAAGGCAGCATCTGGACGGGTAAGATTCAAATATTGAAGTGACCCAAGGACCTGGCGATAGAGAGTGGCATCACATGAGCTTGAACTGTCAAACAAAGTTAATGAAGTAGAGGGAGCTAACGGCGTAGCCACCGGATTAGCCTCATCCATTTTTAATGTTTTTAATAAGTCCATAATGTATTTATGTTGATCAAGAAAGAGTCCACTTTGTGTAGGAGTAACCTGCATGCCCAAGAAATAGTGTAAGGCTCCAAGATCCTTGATAGAGAACTGGTGGGCCAATGAGTCAATAGTCTGAGGTATCAAGTCGGGTGTAGAGCCAGTAACAATAATATCATCCACATAAACCAAAACATAGATGTAAGATGGATGGGAGGAAAAAATGAACAGACTGGCATTAGCAACCGATTGATAAAACCCAAGTGAGAGAAGAAAGCCACTAAGAGATTGATACCACACCCGAGGCGCCTATTTAAGCCCATAAATAGATTTCCGAAGACGACAAACAAACCCAGAACCATCATTAAAGCCCGGAGGTTGCTTCATGTAAACTTCCTCCTGAAGGGTCCCATGCAGGAATGCATTATTGACATCTAACTGATGTACTGGCCAACCATGAGAAAGAGCAATCGTCAAAACAATACGAATGGTAACCGGTTTGATGACCGGACTAAAGGTGTCAGAATAATCAATCCCGGGGCGCTGATGGAAGCCCTTAGCCACTAGCCGAGCCTTATAATCCAAGGAGCCATCCGGTTTATACTTCACTGTATATACCCATTTACAACCCACAATATTTTGACCAGGCTGAGTCGGAACAAGATCCCAAGTGCCCTGTCGAATCAAGGCATCAAATTCTACTGTCATAGCACTCCGCCATTCTGGTACCTGCATAGCTTGAGAAGCACAAGTGGGAATTATATGGTGAGGTAAAGGATCAACAGTGGCAACATTGGCTTGTTTACGGGGTCGAAGGGTCATTGGATGGGTACGTTTAGGCGGTGGAGTATCGAGGGGTGGGTTTGAGGTAGTGAGATCAGTGGTGGTGGGTAAATGAGGGGTGAGGATAGGAGGATTGGGTTTGGGTCGGCGTTGGTAAGTAATAATTTGTGGAGGTGTGGGTTTAGGGGGGTTAGAAAGCTGTATATCAGTTTGGGTAGAGGTAGTGGGTGACGTGTCAAGAGTCAATTGTTGAGCCGAGGTATGAGTAGGAGGAGACGCCCCCGCAACCAGAGTACCTGTAATGGGAAAATAAGACATAGAAGGCTGAAGCCAGTGATCAACTTCAGAAATGATATTTGAGACGGGTGGTGAGGATGTAGAAAAGGGGAAGACTGACTCATCAAACACAACATGTCTGCTGACAAAGATACGGTTGGTGGTAAGATCAAGACAGAGATAGGCACTTTGTTGGTCACAATATCCCAGGAAAACACATGGTTTGGAGCGTGGTTCTAATTTATGAGTGGTATAAGGACGTAACCATGAAAAACATTGGCACCCAAAAACAGCAAGTTTAGTGTAATTAGGAGGTTGTTGGAAGAGTTTTTCATATGGAGTGCAGAAGTTAAGAGAGAGAGCGGGTTGTCTATTAATGAGATAAACTGCGGTAAGAAAAGCATGAGCCCAATATTTAAGGGGCATGGATGCATGGTGAAGTAGGGTGATACCAGTTTCCACAATGTGACGATGCCGACGTTCAACAAAGTCATTGTGCTCTGGAGTGTAGGGAGGCGTAAATAAATGAGAAATACCACATGTGCTTAAGAATTTCCCTAAGGTTATGTATTCGCCTCCCCCATCAGAATAAACGGTTTTAATTGTGCGTTGAAAGAAGTTTTCAACAATCTTTTTAAACTGTTGAAAGAGTGGAGTGACCTCACTTTTATGAGTTATAGGATAAAACCAAATATATTTGGTATAATGATCAACAAAGATAACATAGTAACGAAAGCCATCAATAGAATTAACACGAGCGGGACTCCAAACATCTGTATAGATTAAGTCTAGAGGTCCAAAGCTCGAAAGAGTTGATTTTGCAAATGGCAGCTTATGGCTTTTATTACTAGCACATGAGACACATAGAGAATTATTCGTAGTAACATCAGAAAAGGAAATACCTAAGGAAGATAGAATTTTTTTGTAATAGGGAGGGCAGGATGTCCTAAGCGACAGTGCCAATTATTAAAGGAATATTTTTGTGTGATGTGAGCGGATGGAGATGGTGGAGGGGGTACATCTGGCAAGCTGTAGACGTCTCTTTTATTCATACCCCGTAACAAAATTGATCCCGTTCGCCGGTCCTTAATAAGACAAAAGGAAGAATGAAATTCAATTAGTACATCATTATCACTACATAATTTGGCGACAGAAATTAAATTAGTATGAATAGAAGGGACAAAAAGGGTATTAGGTAGAGAAATAGAGTGAAGGGTCATATGCCCAACTTGTGCCATCGCAAGACCTTTACCGTTACCAATAACGAGAGAATCAGTGCCAGTATAATCGGATGCCAAGGTAAGATTATTCAGGTTGTTGGTGACATGATTGGTTGCTCCAGAATCAAGTAGCCAACCATTTTGTCGAGTGACAACCGTATTGACTTGAGGAGGGTAAGCTTGTTGTTCAAACCGGTGCCAACAGTTGAGAGCATAATGGTTCGATTTCCCACAAATTTGACATGTAACATTGGCCCCGAAATTACCAATCCTCGGGCTGTTCCGGGCTGCCTGATTGGTAGTGGGTCCCCCAAAATTTTTACTGCCACGTCGGTTGGGACTGTAATGGGTATTGGGCCGCTGGTTTCTGGGCTGAGTCCGATTGGTGTTGCGGGCCGAATAATTAGGGCGACTGGGTTGCTCATGTAATTGGGTCGACGGTCCAGGGCCCAAAATAGAAGGGGCTGGATCTCTGCGCGCTGCCAGGGATGCGGACTCCCCTGTACTTACGTTATTAGCCGTCACCACAGCAACAGGGGAGTTGAAGTCTTCTTTCTGCTTCATGGAGTCTTCGAAGCCAGTGAGCAGGGTATAGATTGTCTTAAACCTATTGTCACCGCAAGTCCGAACGGAGTGAGCAAAGGATTCAAACTCGGGTCGGAGTCCCTCCAGTGCTTGAACGACGAAATCTTCGTCATCTACAGGACGGCCGGCCTGAGCCAATTCATTGGCGAGCGTGCGTAGGTGATGGAGATACGCCCCCACGGGTTGAGAGCCTTGTCGAGTGTGGCGGAAGATATCCTTCATATTCCGGATTTGGGAAGGTGAACGAGTCCCATAGAGGTCCTCAAGAGTTTTCCAAACTGTTGCAGACGTGCGAGAGGATCCAACTAGGGGTTTACAAGCCGAACTCAACGAAGCTATGAGGGCGTGTCGGATGAGTCTGTCTTACCTTGTCCATCTGAGACGGCCATCGACATCACTCTCCGGTGGCGGGGCAGCATCGTCGGATATGTACTGATCAAGATGAGACCCGAAGAGAAGATCTAAAATCTGATCGCGCCATACAAGGTAATTCGAACCATCCAGCTTTTCTGGAAAATGACTGGGATTTAGAAGGATTAATCCATCTGGGGTGAGGGGTGCAGAAACTGTTGTAGAAGGGATATTAGGGGTGATGGGTGTACTGGTAGGAACATTGTTGAGGTCCCCTTGTTGGAGGAGAACCTCAGGCTGGCTGTCGGTGGTTGTCATAGGGGAGGGAAGGAGGGCTGGTTAGAGCTCAGTGGCTCTGATACCATAATAGAGAGAAGAGAATGAATGTTTTGAATATATTTCTGTGTGTTAAAACTGGTTTACAAGGCTGCAATTTATACACATCCTAATAATGTATATAAGGTAAATAATAATACTATAGTAAATGCCAAAGATATGTAACGGCTAACTACAATATTATGGTCTAAATGCAAATTATTTCTTTCCTTCAATAGAAAAACCACATTAAATACAAATTTGGGCGTAGCCAAGAGGTCCCAAAGCAAGCTACCCACTTCTAGAGCCTCCTGGCTGGTAAAATGATCTGCCCTGAAAGTAGCTCGTAGTATCTCAAAAATCCCATTCATAGTATGCTTGATGACTGATGAAATTAAGTGCTTGATGTGTGGCCAATCGACTCCAGAGTTTGTATCATTTAACAACTGTGACAGTGCTTGACAAGCATTTACTTTTACAGGAAGAGGCACATCCATGCCGATTGCTTTAACTGCTGCATACACAATTTGCTCATCAACCCTTGTTGCAATGTCTTCTACACGAATTTTCTCCCAAATATTTCCTACAGTATCTCCACCATTTCCAGAATCCTTTGTTACGAATATCTTTTCTGACACTGAAGCTAAGGTGAAAATAGTAGTGTCTGGTATCCACTCACCCAGGGATCCCGCAAACTTCTCCTTCCATGATTCAATAAACCTTTTTTCTTCCACTTTAGTAAAGAATTTGTCGGTATCCATCAACCAGGTCCTGGTGTGGGTCTACTGCTTTGTTATCTGCAGAAAAATAATGACACCATACACCAACTCCTCCAGACTATGCATCATTACCTTTACACCCTTCTTGCTATCCAAAATTGTCAATCAGAACTTAGATAGATTGCTTGAAGGTATTTTCTGTTTCCAGCTACGAAAAGGAGTACCAGAGTGCAAGGAATTCTTGGATGCATAATCAGCTAGAGCCCAAAGAGACACAAGATACTCTCTTAAATCATTATAAGATCTTCCAGCAAGTGTGTTGATAATCACCAAGTACTCACAGTTTGTACTCTCTTTTCTCTTCCAACTTTCCTTGGAGATTTCAGTCCGCATTTTGTGTATTCCGAAGAACTCGGGATTATCAGAATCTGAAACCATAACATTTTCCTTATACTTTCCAGTAATTACTACTCCCATTTCATTTGGAATATACTTCATAGAAGGAACATCATCAATCTTATTCATCCCTTCCAAACTATTTTTTCGTAAACAAGGGTGCATAATTTCCTTTAGAACATCCAATTCCGGAACTCTACCAATCTCAAATTTAAAATCTTCTAGGTTTCGGTCTAAGGCACTAGTATACCTTCGAACTTCATAGGTAAGATTATCCGATTTGCGCTCTTCAGACTTCTCTAGATTATCTGGTGAATCAATGTTTTCTGCCTCTTTCAGAATATCATCTTTCGTCTCCAATTGTTGAATTGAAGGTGCAGACAGCTTCAATTCAATGTTCGTTCCCAGCTGTGGGTCACCTGAAGATCCTTTTCCTTTTGCGCCTGGAGTTATGACTTCTAAAACGCGTGATTCCTTTAGGTACGCTGAAACTAACACATTAGGAAGAGCTGATTGGGCTGAAATCTGCAAACCAGTAGAAACCCCTCCTGATGATATCGATGATGATCAGTTGATGAGCTGAGAAATGCCGATTAATTGCCTCCTTCAGAACCTCCCAACTCTTTCATTTCGTTTGAAATTCCCACCCTTGAAACCAGTCAAACGCATCATCCTCCATAGCCTCTGTTGCGACTTCAACTTTATTTTTCTCCCCAGTAGCCTTGAGACGGAAATATTCTTCCATCCTCACAATCCAACTGTCTGCATCATCCCCGTTAAACAACTGTAGTTCAACCTTTATTCTTGTACGAATATCTCTTCTACTGCTATCGCAACCCTTACTAGAGAGAGAGTGATCAGAATTACCTTCCGACGCATCTAGACGCTCAGATTCCTTTGTTTGTTGATGTTTATAAGTGTGCGATCTTCCTCTGGTTGGAAACTGTTCATTTATCGCAGCCAGGGATGCAACGATGTTCTTCATAGCAGATTTCCTCTCCATGTTTGAACGCTTTTCCAGGCTCGAACCAAAGGCATCCAGTTCTGACCGTCAGGGTTCTCTCTTCTGCTCAGCGACCATCTTCGTTCGTTCGTATCTCAGCATCGCAAATCACAAATCCTCCTCTTCCGCGATAATTAAGACTCCAGGAGCGAGTGATCTGATACCAATGTTAGAACTGTGGTATTAATCAAAGCAAAACAGTGAGAAAACAACACAGATCTAGCTAGAAGAGATGGATGATAGTGTTCATTGAATGAAAAGGGATCAATGTAGGTAACAAGGCAACGGGACTGTTCAAGAAGCCCACTCTCCAAGGCAACACCCAAATCAATTAACAGCCTCTCTTCTTTAGCTACCCCCTTCTATTTATAGTATTATCCATGCAGGGATTAATAAGGCTACTAGCCCACTAGTTACTTAGTATTAGATCCCTTATTCCTCCTTTTCCCCTTCTATTTATACTACTAAATGTGCCCTTACTATTATTATTATTATTATTCTTATTAATAGCCTACTAAGCCAAATTCCTATCAGAATGTAGCCACTTTGCGTCTGGAGGTGCTGTTAAAATGTTCTTCAAATAAATATCAAATGACTCAATTAAAAGTATAGGTAAATGTGGTTTGAAAGCATTGTTGGACAGATGAGTTTTAAATAGTTTCATAAGAGTGTTTCATGCTACACATCATATCACTTTTATTTTACCAAATGAACTTTTGAACCATGGTTCAAAATATTGGGGTTAACAATGGTTTCTATGGGCCGCTAGGCGCTAGGCAATGAATTAGGAACCCTACTATCTATGGGTCTGACTAGCGTCTAAAGAATATCTTAAAAATGGTCTAAATAGGAACATAAGATAAGAAAACGAGAGTGAAGGTAATGGCAATGCATGAGATGGGGAAAATACCTAAATCTTGTTTTGACTCGGTCTTTGACACTGAGAGATCGCGAGAGTCTTGAGTAAGTCTTGGAGTAGGAGTTGAAGAGCTCCCATTTCCAACTGCAGGGGGGTTTTCTGCAGAAAATTATAAGTTCACAATCCTTTTTAATGTTAAAGTGGTGTTCACTTTGTGTGTGTCCAAAGAAAATCTCCAGCTTGTTACCATTTCGAAACTGAGACCAGTCATCTTCAGCATCAAGACCACGCAGAGTTTCACCAACTAGGAAAATCAATGTTGTCAGACTAGCAAATATAGAAACAGAAATTAACATATAAGGCAGTTTGAACTTTTAGAATATAATCTCAAGTCTTAATGTAGTACGGAGTATTAAGCTCTGACTATTTTGGGATGCTTCAAGTCTTATTATGGTAGGATTCAATTACCTGGCAAGATGTACCTTCTATGGTGCTTGGGAGTGTTTATCTGTAACAGTTGCTGTGAAAGACCCTCGTGATCTATATGCTCCTGGCATGACCTTAATAATCTCTGAACATACATAACAAAAACTTTGTTCGAGAACTTTCCCACTTTTCTATTTTTCTTAAGCATCAAATTGTATACAAGTACACAACTAAATTACCTGCTGAATGCAAGACATGCGAAGTTCGGTTTCAGAAACTTTATCTACTTTTTCAACTAAAAGATCATTAACCTTATTTATCATAGAGCCCAAATGATCCACAGTGTTCAAAACAGCTTTTATGGCATAATCTTTCAATGTACTATCCTCCGTACCTCATTAATTGCAACATTGGAATATATACATTATTCATGTACTTTACTTTGACTACATTTAATTTATTAATGTATGTGAATTATTTTTTTTTTGAAAAATATTGTTAAATTCGTCTCATTACTAAGTTTTATAATCTGATTTTTATTTTATTTTTACTAATCATCATCATTTTCATTTACCTCAGTGCCGCAAAGGCTCCCACCTACGGTGGAGTAAGGGGAGGTCGGATGTACGCAGTCTTACCCCTGTACTAGAGCACAGAGAGACGGTTTCCGGATGACCCATAGTGAAAATCGCGTCCAAAATTGCATGGACTGACTGCTGCTTCATAACAAAGAAGCGCAGACAGTTTAGTGAGTCATTTTGCTTTATTCCATCATAATCTCAAGCCAAAAAATAATGAATCTTTGGCTCCATTGCAAATGATGGAAAACTTTTATTTTTACTAATACAGAATTAAATATAATGACGGTCAAAGTTGTGCGTTGGCAAACGTGAAATGTTGACTGTTGCAACTAAAAAGAGACGGATGAAGTATTTACTGTTGGAATTAATTAACGGATCAAATTTGTAAGAATCATCTCTAACCAAATCAAACACAAGAAATATACCAAGTGTAAGAATAGATTTTCTTACTTGGAGGAAAGCCTGACTTGATTGAGGATGAAGAAGCCATTTGATTCCCGTTATGATGCCTTGGGTTATGATGGTGGAATGTATCGTTAAACTCCCAGGGAAGTAGAAGGTGTTATTTTATAGCCCCTGGGAATTCTGATAAGAGACACGACTAATCATCGTATCTTTCTATTTAGACACAATGAATAGATATGTCTATTCATAATTAATTAAATAATAAATTAATCATTTAATTAATTAATTAATTAAAAGGCATCTAACGGAAAATCAATTATTCCCTTTAATAATAACAATTACTCCCATCAAGTAATGTTTAGGTAAACTATGGAATTTCTAACGTCATGTTGGTATAATTACTACAACGATAGTAATAATTAAATAATTATTGTAAAATGGTCCTAAGGCCACACATAAGTGGAATACATTCCAACATTCTCCCACTTGGCCGAGTGACCATTTATGATGAGTATCCATAAGTTTGGCCAAAATGATACTCGCCAAGTTTTATATTAAAGTCATAATAAAAAGATACAATCACTAATGTTGTCATCAACAAAAGGACCCCCATCAATTATACTAAGACTTTAACATAAAATACTTAGAGAGTTTGAGTTAAGATGACGAGAATATACAATATTAATTTGTATATATTTGTCTATAGAACAATAAGTGTATGCATACAATAGTATAGACAAATAAGTAATACTTTTGAGGAAATTCATAATTACATAAGGATAATATGCTTTCATATAAGATCTCTAGTAAAACCCATCTTTGTTACGAGCTCTTGAAATACTTTGGGTGGTAGACCTTTTGTCATCGGATCCGCTAGCATATCATGAGTACTAATGTGCTCAACACAAAGATTGTTTTCCTCTACTCGTTCACGTACGAACAAGAACTTTGTATCGAGATACAATCCAGCCCCACTCGAACTGTTGTTGTTTGAGAAACTAACGGCTGCAGAATTGTCACAATATATCTTCAATGGTCTCGATATGGAGTTCACGACTTTGAGTCCACTAATAAGGTTTCTCAATAACATCCCATGGCAAGTTGCATAATAAACTGCAACGTACTCCGCCATCATGGTTGAGGTTGTTGTTAGTTTTTGCTTATGACTTCTCCACGAGATAGGTCCGCCTGCTAACATAAAGATATACCCTGAAGTAGATTTCTTATCATCTCTGCATTTTTCAAAGTCCGAATCAGAAAATCCAATCACTTCTAAGTTATCGCTTCTTCTATAAGTTAGTTTGTAATCTTTTGTCCCTTGAAGATATCGCAACACTTTCTTTGCTGCTTTCCAATGATCTAGGCCGGGGTTATGTTGATAACGACCTAGCATTCCAGCAATATAAGCAATATTCGGACGAGTACAAACTTGAGCATACATTAAGCTTCCTACTACAGAAGCATAAGGTATCAAACTCATTTGTTCCCTTTCTACCTCCGTTTTCGGACATTGAAAAGAACCGAAAACATCTCCTTTAACTACAGGAGCAACTGAGGGAGAGCAATGTTGCATGTTATAGCGAGCAAGAATACGCTCAATGTAAGCCTTTTGAGACAGTCCTAACACACCATTGGCTCGATCTCGATGTATTTCAATGCCAATCACATAAGAGGCTTCCCCGAGATCTTTCATGTCAAAATGGCGTGAAAGTAATCGCTTTGTCTCATGCAACAAATTCAAACTATTACTTGCCAAAAGGATGTCATCAACATAAAGGACAAGTATGGCAAAATTGCTCCCACTCACTTTAAGGTAGGTACATTGATCCACTTGATTCTTATTGAAACCATTCCTTTTAATGACTTCATCAAATTTCAAGTACCACTGTCTTGATGCTTGTTTTAACCCGTATATGGATTTCTTTAGTTTACATACTAGGTGTTCTTGACCCTTGAGCTTAAAACCTTCCGGTTGAGCCATGAACACATTTTCATGTAAATCACCATTAAGGAAAGCCGTTTTAACGTCCATTTGATGTAACTCTAAATCAAAATGGGCTACTAAGGCCATAACGATCCTTAAGGAATCTTTTCGAGACACAGGAGAGAAAGTTTCTTGAAAATCAATCCCCTCCTTTTGAGTGTAACCTTTAGCAACCAAACGTGCTTTATATCTTTCGACGTTTCCATTTGGGTCTAACTTGGTTTTATAAACCCACTTGCATCCTACGGGTTTTACCCCTTTAGGTAGTTCAACAAGTTCCCATACGTCATTCTTTCTCATAGAATCAAGCTCATCAATCATAGCTTCATTCCATTGAGTGGATTGGTCACTACTAATGGCGTCATTATAAGATGTAGGATCATTATTTTTCCCTATATCCAAGTCAACTTCATTAAGATAGGTTATGTAATCATCAAAGTTAGTAGGTCTTCTAGACCTCGATGACCTTCTTAATGAAATTTCGAGTTCTTGAGGTGGTTCAGTGGTAACTTCAAGGATTTGTTCCTCTAAATTTGGAACACCTTCATTTATTGGCATATTAGGAGCAATATTTTCCTCGGGAGAGGCACTAGGTGGGAAAATGTCATTTACAATAGGTGCAATAGGATAAAGAGGTAATGAGGTTATTGGACCCTCCTCTTGCACTTCTTGTAAGTTGACAACATGATGTGTATTGCTCCCACTAATGTTAGAATTTTCTAGAAATTCGGCATGACGAGTTTCAACTATGCGAATGGAATGAGATGGGCAATAGAATCTATATCCCTTTGATCGTTTGGGATACCCTATAAAGAAACAACTGACTGTTTTCATGTCAAGCTTTCTTTGTTGAGGGTTGTAGAGCTTAGCTTCGGCGGGACAACCCCATACTTTCATATATCTCAAGCTCGGTTTTCTTCCCGTCCAAATTTCATAAGGTGTTTTAGGAACGGATTTAGAAGGAACTCTATTGAGTATATGGACTGCCGTTTTTAATGCCTCGGTCCATAAGAATTGAGGTAAGGTGGTGTTTGCTAACATACTTCTTACCATGTCCATGAGGGTCCTATTTCTTCTTTCAGCAACACCATTTTGCTGAGGAGTACCCGGCATGGTAAATTGGTTCACGATCCCATGTTCTTTACAAAACTCAAAGAAAGAGCCAGGAGCTTGACCAATATCAGTATGTCTACCATAATACTCACCCCCTCTATCTGATCTCACTACTTTTATCTTACGGTCGAGTTGATTTTCAACCTCGGCCTTAAAGGATTTAAATGTGTCAAGTGATTTAGATTTCTCTTTAATTAAATACAAATACATATAACGTGAGTGATCATCTATGAAAGTGATAAATGACTTATGTCCAGATATTCCGGCGGGAAAAGGTCCACAAATATCAGTATGTATAAGTTCTAATAAATTAGAACTCCTTGTGGCGCCTCTTTTATTTCCTTTTGCCATTTTACCTTTAAGGCATTTCACACATGTCTCAAAATCATTGAAATCGAGAGTTGGTAAAACTCCATCTTTCACGAGTCTCATCATTCGGTCTCGTGATATATGGCCTAAACGTTGATGCCATAACATAGATGAGGTTTCCAAATCTCGTTTTCTTTTATGTAAATTTTCACTTACATTATATGACAACAATGATTTTGAGAATTGGTCATCTAGGTCTAACTTATAAAGTTTTCCATCCAAATAACCATAACCAATAATGTCGGAATTTAAAGTAATAGTGACTTTATTATTACCAAATGTTACATAATATCCATCATTATCTAACTTATGTACAGATACTAGATTCTGAGTCATCCTCGATACATAAAGAGTATCATATAACTTAATACAATAGCCACCTTGCATAACTAATTGCAAAGTACCTACGGCTTCAACATTTAGATCATCACCATTGCCGACTTTAATGGTTCTTTGGTTTCTTTCCAGCCTCCGGATTGAATGGAATCCCTGTAATGAGTTTGTAACATGTACCATAGAACCAGAATCAACCCACCATGTGTTTGTGGGAACATTAATATTAAAGGACTCATAAATCATAAATAGATGATTACCTTTCTTTGCTAGCCACTCCTTGAATTTTGGACAATCTCGTTGGCCATGTCCTTTCTTATGACAGAATTTACAACGAAACAGGCCCTCAGGAGCGGTTGAGCCAGGAGTTGCATTTGCATTTGTTTTCTGAACCTTTGAACTTTCTCCAGTATTAAATTTGCCTTTCTTTTTCCCGGTGTTTGTGGTTGTGAGATGAGCAACATCGGGTTTTTCAATCTTTAAGCGCTCCTCCTCTTGCACGCACATGGCAATGAGTTCACTCATTTGCCATTTGTCCTTTTGAGTGTTGTAGTTTATTTTAAAAGGACCAAATTGTGCCGGAAGAGAGGTCATAATGAAGTGCACTAAAAAAACCTCACTAATTTCCATGTCCATGCCCTTAAGCTTGTGGGACATGTCACTCATCATCATGATGTGCTCACGCACACCACTCACACCATCGTACTTTGTAGTCAACATCTTCAGAATCAAAGTACTCGCATATGCCTTGGAGGTGCCTTTAAATTGTTCTTCAACGGAGTCCAAGTATGTTTTTGCATTTTCTGAATCCGGTATGGCTCCGCGAATAGCAACCGAGATGGAATTCTTTATAACCATGAGAGACATTCTATTTGACCTCTCCCACTGTTCATACACTCGTTTTTGTTCTTGTGAACTTTGGTCAGTGAGTGCAGCGGGAGGATCATGCCTCAAAGCATAGTCTAAATCCATCATTCCAAGAGTTAATTTAACGGCATCTCGCCATGACGCGAAATTAGTGCCGGTTAGAGGTTCAATCCCATAATTAGGACTTAAAGTGGATGCTGGATTATCACAATTAGAACATATAAATTTTAGAAGAACATAAGTGAATTGAAACATATAGGGCAATCACATAAAGTAAGCAAAACAACATATTGAAGATTAAGTCTATTACTAACACCAAAAATAATAGACTAAACTAAGGTCCTACTTGAGTGTTGGATTTGCGTTGGCCATATCCAATACTCAAGTGCTTCGAACATTTTAATAAAAAAAAACGCCATATGATTATCGTAAGTCACCTTTGGGTGAAAATTACAACAATCATGTTAATTAGGTTTGAAAATAATTTTATAATATGTGTAACTTAACGACTCGCCTTTGGGTTTGTCATTTTGCTACACATACCTCAAAATATCATGATAACTTATTTAGACTTATAAAATATTTAATAATTTCCGTTGGGATAATTACCTAAATATGATATAAGCATCAAGTCATTAAGCCATCAAGCATCATTACTTATAAGAAGTATCATTACTTATAAGATACGTGATATAAGTAATTTTCCGTTGGGATAATTACTTACATTTAAAATTTTGTTACGGTAATGTATGTACAAATATTTATTAAGCTTTTTCACACTCAGTAAATCCTTCATTTTAAAATTAAAGTTCTCATGTAATTTTTCATATAGGTTTCGTTAATATTAGACCCAAATAAAATGAAATTAAGCATAGGAATCAAACGTGAGTGCATTCGGTCATTATATTTTAATGGAAAAATTAAATTCAGTGATGTCTCCAGTGAATCAAATTATACATTATAATCATATGTGATGTCAATCAAGTCCACTGGAACAAGTTTAACCATAAATGGATAAAATCTCCACTAAATTTAACTTGTTAATATTTTAAATGATCAAACAAAAGGTAATAATGATAATAATATATCACAACAAACAAACAAAAATAACGAAGCCATTCACCGACTCCTACGCACTAGATTCTTTCTTATTATTAGCAAAAATTGGTTAGGCCAACAGAAACGAAAGTAAGGCAACGTGGAGACGAATGATTTCAAAAGATAAACGATGAAAATATTAACGGGGCACAACAACAACTTCAGCCCGTTCGTTCATCTTTCGATCGCCAATTATGAAGAGATTTTCAGAAACCGGAATTACGGTTCTTAATTTAAAATGGTTTGAATCGATTAAGAGAAGGGCTCTGATACCAAATGTTGGAATTAATTAACAGATCAAATTTGTAAGAATCATCTCTAACCAAATCAAACACAAGAAATATACCAAGTGTAAGAATAGATTTTCTTACTTGGAGGAAAGCCTGACTTGATTGAGGATGAAGAAGCCATTTGATTCCCGTTATGATGCCTTGGGTTATGATGGTGGAATGTATCCTTAAACTCCCAGGGAAGTAGAAGGTGTTATTTTATAGCCCCTGGGAATTCTGATAAGAGACACGACTAATCATCGTATCTTTCTATTTAGACACAATGAATAGATATGTCTATTCATAATTAATTAAATAATAAATTAATCATTTAATTAATTAATTAATTAAAAGGCATCTAACGGAAAATCAATTATTCCCTTTAATAATAACAATTACTCCCATCAAGTAATGTTTAGGTAAACTATGGAATTTCTAACGTCATGTTGGTATAATTACTACAACGATAGTAATAATTAAATAATTATCGTAAAATGGTCCTAAGGCCACACATAAGTGGAATACATTCCAACATTTACAACTGTGTATGAATCAAAAACAAAAACATTGTGAATGATGAAAAGCTCCAGAGCCTCAACAAAGTACAAGAGTAGAGGATTTTGTTTTTTTGTTTGTTAAGTAAAATAAAACTCAAGACTTCACTCACTTCTCTTTTTCATTATCATTGAAGTAGGCTGACTCAAAGTACTCAGCTGCAGAGTACAGCTGCTTTCTGAGATCCTTAGTCCTGAAATAGAAACTCTTTTCTTTTAGTTATTACAATCAAATTGTCTCTCACAGTCAAGTAAACACTGAACTGCTCAACATTATTTGGAACATTCTTATTTTATATTGAAAAATAATGTATATTTTTCTTATCATATTCACTTTTGTATTCTATGGACTCATATGTTATATAAAACCCCTGGGTATTCTATATATGATTAAAACAAGGAATGGAGTGGTCAATTCTGTTATACAACTTCTACAAACATTAACCTGCAACATGAAAATACCTTAAGACTGTCGGCAAACAGGACACTTTGCTGCATTGATACCTCTTCATAGTTAGCAGGCTCTCTAGGATAGGGCATTGCAGTAGCAGTTAATGTCTCCATGAAGTAGTGCTAATTGGTACAATGTCCTTTTCCTGCAACTACCATTTCAAATTAGCAATAAATTCCAATTCATACAACTAAGAGGTCATTTGGTAATCTAATTTTTCAGCTGATAAATTTTTGTTAATAAACACTGATTTTTTGTGCTTTGAATTGTAAAATAAATAACATAAGTAAAGTTGGAGTGACTTTTCTAGTTAAATTGATTGAGGAAACTATTTTAGTTTCATCCGATTTAGTCAATTTAAGTCTTGCCGAATGACTCTTAACATATGACAATATCGTTTCAATGCCAAATTGTATCCTGTTTCTTTATTGAAGCCTATGAACATGAAGAAACGGGCATAAAGATTAAGGAGCTTCTTAGCTATGTTCTGAAAAAATAAAAAATTACGTAGTACATGCCTACAACTAGTGCTGTAATTGAATTAGAAGCGATTAATAAATAGGAAAGTTTTCGAAATAGGACTAAAACAGTTTGAAAATTTCAAAAAATGACTATCATGTTTTTTATTCCCAAAATAGGACAAAATGCTGTCATGTTTAGAAAATACTGTCATGTTTGAAGTCGGGTACTGCCAAAACATGACAGTAATTAGTCCTATTTTGGGAATAAAAACATGGCAGTTCTATTTTGGAATTTTGTAATTGTTTTAATCCTGTTTCGGGTAAATTCTCTTAATTCTCTCTGCAGATGGAAAAACTAAATAAGACTGTTTCTAGTATAAGCATTAATAGCAAATCAACTAGAAAGAACAACAACAGTTTGTAAAACAAAGAGAAAAAGATATTCACCAGAAAAAGTAAGGTCACGTTGATGCCTTTTTCATTATCAGCTCGACAATCTCTGGTCGATAAAATAATTAAACTTTACCCCTGACATATAAAGAAACATATACAGAGTATTTTATAAATATTCATAATGAGCTTCCATTCTGCTACGAAAACAAACTCGCTAATGTTTCAAGAAGCTGTAATCTTTCATTGAGAAATCCCAGATAAAAAAACATTGACTGCTTGACTGGATAATATTTCAAGAAGCATATTGATAAGAACACGTAAGCTAATCAGCCATCTTTTTCACCAAACAGTAACTTTTGATTTCACACGCTGAATTATATATTAATAAGAAAAAGTAATATTGAAGCTAATTTTTTGACGGTATTGATTGAAGTCACTATAGATGATCATTTTACCTATTTTTCATATTTTGTTTTTATTTTTTTTAATAATAACAAATATTTTGAATATATTATTTTTTTGCAGCAGAATCAGCCTATATAGCCATTTCAACCAAAACTTTATAAATTTCAACAGAATCAGTCAGTTCAGTCAATTTCAGTGCTATCAAACAGGCTCTTAGAATGTTTTTATCAAGTCTAATGTGATCTGAATTGCTCAAGTCTAATCTGATTTGGTATAATCTACTTTGATCTGAAACTGAAAATAATCCAAGTATAAACATCCTTAGAATTTTCAATTTCTTTTACAAATTAATATATTTGTATTGATCTGAGTTACTTCATTTTCAACTCCATATCATTATTGGTCAATTTTTTTTTATCAAATACTCGAATGTAATTTTGATTATCCCATTAAATTGTGTGATGGAGTATATGGCCCGGGAACCCCCGACCCACAGACTCCTACTACTCCAGCGAAGGCCCAAAAGGCCCAACAGGCCCAAATCACAGCGCCCAGAGTACCAAGCAGCCCGCACTACGCGTCAGGGGTGCCTTCGGCCCCCTGGCCGAAGGCTCTAAATTCTCACAGAACGGGTTTCTCAGGCAAATTAAGAAACTGGGAGAAAACGGCGAAAACAGTAGCCCTCGACATTGTGAGCCCTCGGCACCAGGGTGTCATCGGGTGGAAGAGCCCTCGGCTACTGCTCTATAGCCGAAGGCATCTCACTCGACAAGATATCCGCCTCACATGCGAACAGATCACCGTACCCCGCATAGACGTCCCATCCAACAGCCGCATTAAATGCGGCCACATGCAGCTGCCAGCGCCAACCAGTTGAGGTGACCCCTCGGCCAATGAGCGCTTGACACGTGTCCCTGCCCGGCATTTATTGCTACTATAAATAGCACCCCATTTCCTCATTTGTAACCACGCTGAAAATGGCATTCATACTGAATACACTCTCTCTCTACTTTTACTTACTTGCTCTGACTTCTCTCTAAATTACTCCCCGTAATAACCCTTCGGATATATACCCCCGGGTAGACTATCCATCATTTGGTGCTCTCGTTGAGAGGTTGAACAATCGAGTAAGAAACCCTCCCCCTCGACCAAACACAAAACACTAGCCCTCTATCAAAATGGTGAGGACAACACGTGCCAACTCAAAGAACGTAGAAGACAAGAACCTGGCCCTCGGCGACGTCAACGCCCCCGAAGCCTCTCACAGGGCTCCCGAGGGCGGTGTCATCGCTGGGCTGGAACAGGCGACTGCCGACCTACGCCTTCAGATCCAACAAAATGCCCCCGATGCCCGCCTCGGCATCGAGGCCAAGAAGAAAAACCGGAGCGATGACCAAGTCAGCCCTCCGGTTCTCACCATCGACGTACAATCGGCGCTCTCCGCCTTCATCCAGACGCTCACCCAGAACCCGGGTGCCTTCGGCACCCTGGCTCCAGCTCACCCTCAGATCGGGGAAAATATCATACTTCCCCCTCTGCCACACCCCTTCGGAAATCCCACCCCTCGGGTGAGAAACGATGAAGGGGTGGTGGCCCAAGATACATCCTCCCAGGAAGTTCAGTCCCGGGACCGCCATAATGACAACAGGGAAGGGCCCCGTACTTCCGTCCTCAACCGGCTCGGAGGAGGGCCAGACCGCCGAGGGGTCCAAGACCGCCTCGGGGGGGAAGCACTCCAAAGGCCCCAGGAAAGCGGGGGATCTGTTTCGAGGGCAGACGAGGAGCGTCCCCCTCGGGACAAAGGCAAGGCACCCCTTCATGCCGATGATGCTCGCCACGAAATCAACCAGGCCCACTCGGCCCGGGTTCGTTCGCAGGGGGCGGAGACCCTCCCGAAGGATCCCCGGGACGAGATTATTGCAGCCCTCCAACGCCGGCTTGACGAGATGGAGTCCAACAAAGCTCACGCCACCACCTCCGCCCCTCATTCAGATCTCAAATACGAGGCCATGATGGCCAAAATGGAGGAGTTACAGAAGAGGGTGGCCGAGGGCTCCGGGGAACCCGTCATCCAGCTCCGGACTCGGACGCCATTTACCCCAAGGGTATTGGCGGCCCGGATCCCGGAAAAATACCGAGGGCAACACATACAGCCCTACAACGGGAAAACGGACCCCCAGGAACACTACAGCAAATACCAAAACAACATGATGATGGTGGGGGCGTCAGACGAATATTTGTGTCGATGGTTCCTCTCCACCTTAGAGGGACCGGCATACGAATGGTTCAACAGGCTGCCCGAGGGCTGCATTGATTCGTGGCAAGAACTCGCCCAACGATTCTTGACACAATTCGCCGGGAGGCGTCGCACAAGGAAGCACTTCTCCCACCTCCTAACAATATGCCAGAAGAAGGATGAGACCCTTCGGGATTTCCTGGAGCGCTGGAGGACAGAGGCCGACAAGGTCGACGGTGCTGATGACGGGACCCTCCTGGCCCTCCTAAAAAACGTCCTCCGCACCGGTAACTTTTCAAGGAGCCTCATCATTGAACCCCCCGCGACTACATAAGGGCTTTGCAGCGGGGGGACCGATATGCTGAGGCCGAGGAGGTGGAGAAGTATCACCAGCATCCGGACCAGCAGCCCCCGAGGGCTGACAACAAGCACAACCGAGGGCCGGGGGCTCCTCCAAATCACCCCAAGGCTTCGGGACCCTCTGATGATCGCCCTCGGCAAGGCCAAGCCAAGCCCGGGGGAGGTTATAAGAGCAACCCTAAGACTTGGGCCCAGCCCATTCTCCTGGACCGCCCTCGGACACCATTGACGCACCCTGTCAGCATCATCCTCGATTTTGCCGAGGAGAGGGGCCTTGTTGAGCGCGACTCTCGCGCACCCCCGGAGGTACACGCTATCAACCCTCAGTTCCCCTACTGTCGCTTCCATCGGCACCAGGGGCACAGGACCGATGACTGCCATCAGCTGAAGACGGCCATCGAGAGATTAATACAGGCGGGGCACCTGTCCCAGTTTGTCCAGAGCCCTCGGCAGGAGGGACCTTCTCATCAGGGACCTCCCCGAGGGCACCATACGAAGGTAAATGCCTGGGTAAATCCGAACACCATCCCCCTCGGCAAGAAGAGGGAGATCGGAAACTTGGAAGAAGAGGAGGAGGAGTACCCCCACTACCAGGAGAAGAAACGCCACATCCTCATGATCACCGGTGGCAATACAGGGGGCGATTCCACCAGCCAACGAAAGAAGTGGGCTCAATCGCTTTACGTGGGGGAAGTCACTTATATGCCCCCGGTAAAGCGACTGAGGGAGGAACCCATCACCTTCACCAACGCAGATCTCCCTCCTACTTCTTCTCCTCACAGGGATGCCTTGGTGATTCGGACGGAAATAAACGACACCATTATTCACCGAACTTACATTGACACGGGCAGCTCCGTCAATGTAATGTACCTCAGCACCTTCAGAGAGCTGCATCTGGAGAGGGGGTCCCTTCGGCCCATTAACACCCCTCTTACCGGCTTCACCGGCGACACTATTGATTCCGAGGGGGTAATAACCCTCCCGGTGATCTTCGGCGACGGGCTCCATAGAGCCCAGCTCGAGGTGGAGTTCGTCGTCGACAACATTGACTGCGCCCACAACATCATCCTCGGCCGGCCAGCCCTCGAGGACCTCGAAGCCATCATCTCCATGAGGCACCTCTGCCTCAAGTTCCCCGCCGAGGGGGGCATTGGCTACTCCCGGGGGAACCAGAAAATTGCCCGCGCCTGCTATCTTCAGGTCACTAAGAAGGTAAGCAAGACGGAATTCCGTGTTGACACCATCACCGGAACCATCGACCAAGAGGAAAGAAGGCCGAGGGCTGAACCGGCCGAGGACGTAGAAGACTTTGCGCTCGATCCGGCCCAGCCGGAGAGAGTCGTGAAGATTGGAGCCCAGCTCCCTGAAGATTTGAAGACCGGTATCACCGACGCCCTCCGCGCCTACTCCACTGTCTTCGCATGGGGGCCGGAGGACATGCCGGGAATCAGCCGAAGGGTCATCACCCACCGCCTCTCGGTGGACCCTTCGGCAAAGGCGGTGCAACAACGAAGAAGACCCCTCTCCGCCGAGAGGAGGGAATTTGTGAAGAAGGAGGTCGCCATGCTCCTCTCCATTAAGCACATCAAGGAGGTGAAATATCCCTCATGGCTGGCGAATGTAGTCCTCGCACAGAAGCCCCCTACCTTCCGCATGTGCGTGGACTACACCGATCTCAACAAAGCATGCCCTATGGATCCATTCCCTCTACCAAACATTGATCAATTGGTGGATGAGACCGCAGGGTGTGAGATCATGTCCTTCCTCGATGCCTTCCGAGGGTACCATCAAATTTTCATGCACGAAGAGGACGCCGAAAAAACTGCCTTCATGACTCCCGAGGGCATCTTCTGCTACCTAGTGATGGCCTTCGGCCTAAAGAACTCGGGGGCCACTTACACCCGGATGGTGGCCCGGGTCTTTCAAGCCGTCCTAGGGCGCACCATGGAGGCCTATGTTGACGACATGATCGTCAAGAGCAAACAATCTTCCAGCCATGCTGACGACCTCCGGGAAATCTTCGCCATCATGCAAAAATTCAACCTTCGGCTAAACCCGAAGAAGTGCACCTTCGGCGTCCAAGGGGGCAAGTTCTTGGGTTACATGGTGAGCCGAAGGGGTATTGAGGCCAATCCCGAGAAAATCCAGGCCATCATCAACATGGAGCCCCCACGCGATGTGAAGGAAGTTCAACGGTTGACGGGCCGCCTAGCAGCCCTCAACCGCTTTCTATCTAAATCGGCGGAGAAGTCTCTACCCTTCTTCCAGATCATGAGGAAGACAGCTGGCTTTCTATGGACTCCAGAATGCCAGGGGGCTTTCGACGAGCTCAAAAGATATCTA